AATACTTATCATTGGAATATTGAAAATTTAGATGATATGATGAGAGGAGATAAGAAGGAAGACCATTCAAAAGGGGAAAAACAGAAAGAAAGATATTAATTATACTTATCATTTTCTTAAATATGGAAAACTCATCATCATAGATCATACTAATAAAAAAGATTATTTTTTCAATGTAAAATTTTTCCATCATATACGCATTTTTAACATTTATTAATATTTTTGGGGTCACAAAACATTGGTTAATATTGATATTTTGATTCTCCCTAGCGTCCTTTTCAAACACATATTTATTTAAGGTACTTTTAATTACTCGTATTTGATTTGTCTAATTATGGCTAATACAAATATATTAAAAATTACATGGAAGCAAACTATAACAATGTAAATTGTTTTGGGTTTCATGCAAATATACAAAAACTCATTGTTGGGTTTCACAAAAAAATTATAATTTTTACTTAATTCAAAGAGGGGAGAATTACAATTAAAGACAATAGAAAAATATTAATGTAAAACAAGAACATGTGCATAACTACAATTTCAAAATTTAAAACTCAAATATCAATATTTACAATCAAATACCCTTGTTTTATATTGATATTCTTCCATAATCCCTTATTTTCATTTTCCCATCAAAATAGTGTCACCATCTGATGGTATAATTAAATAACTAATTGACTGAAATAAGACGCTTAACAAAAATTAATTAAATAATGAAGATATTACTTGTTTTCTTGTGTAAATAATTTTAATTAGTGAATGGTTATTGTTAAGATAGATTTTTTTTTTTTCAAAGGCAGATATACAAAACTCAGGGACGCAGAAACCGGAGCATGCAATGCACGTGCCCAATCTCCTGAAACAAATTTTGAATGACAATTAATTAATTAGCGGCAAAAAAAAATTAAATATAAAAGCTAATCATAGCAGCTTGATATTTCTACAGGCCTGTTTTCATATTGTAATTATTGTAATGAATTTTGTCCTAATCATCTTTTGACTGTATTTTGTACTGAACATGAAAAACGTTATATACTTAATGATTAAGTGCTCTGTTCCTCTGAAGAAAAGAAATTTAAATTCTTGTACAAGTTCTCTTTCTTAAAAAACATATATTTTTTTAAATCAACCTAATCACACTGTATGTTGACAAATTATGAACAATATAACGTTGTTAAATTAATTTAAGAATTTGGGAGTTATTTTTTGGTGATTTTCTCGCAGTCCTTTTTAACTTTATAACATTTTACATAATCATGAAATTTTTATTTTAAAATCTTAATATGAAAAATTATTTTTTATGCCAATTAATATTATTTTAAAAAATATAATTAAACTTAATAGGTTAACATTTGATAATATTTTATTAATATTTAAAAATTTAATAAAAAAATTGTTGTGATGAAACTAATGGTATTGGGAATAAAGAACTTAAATATAATTTATAAAATTAAAGAATTAAAATAAAATTTTATATAAAATTAAAAAATTTAAAATATACTTTAATCTAAAATTAAAGCTGCTTGGTAGCCAACGGGTCAAAAACAAGTACACGTGAAAACGTAAATGGAGAACAAACACAAATTTAGGTTTGGTGCAGCAGTACGGGTGTGAGTACGTTTTCACCATTTACATGTTAGATTATGTGTGGATTACATGTTATATACTTTAAAAAGTTTTTAACTTTAAATTCTTAAAATATTTTCAATTAAATTTTTTAGGCTGCTAGTTCAAAAATAATTTTATTTTTCCATTTTGATTGCATCAAAATAAAATAAAAACTAATTTTCTTAAAAAAATAAACTATTTAAATGGCTGAACCAATTTTTTTTATACCCTTTTTACTATAAGACAGTGAAGCTATTTTTAAACTAATATTCAAACTCAGAATAAGTTTTAATTGTGTGTGTGTGTGTGTGTGGATTGACAATTAAGTAAGACAGATAAATATAGATTGATTACACAATAAGCAAATAAGAGGAATGGCCTAAGTTTCCACCAAAATAAAATGTACAGACTCTGTAGGGACAATTCTGGTTGCTCCGATTGATGTGTTTAGAAATTGATTTGATAACTTCTTAATTTATGCATTCATTTAATTATTTCCTTACCTCCACTTTCTTTCATCATGTTCCCCCCTCCAATCTTGTGCTGTCTCACGTTTATAATGTGAAAAGTAAAATAATAATTTAATACTATAATATAAAATAAAGATTAATTTGCAGGTCTTTATAATTTTATTTAATTTTAAATTAGTTACTATAATTTATTTTACTTTAACTAAGCTCTTATAGTTTCATCAATTAAATATGTTAATCCAAAAACATTAAAATTCTTAATTTTTTTTAAAAATAAAATTCTTATTAGAATATTATATAATTTTAAAACTAATTACATAATTTATATAATTAAGTTATCTCTAATAACTTCTTTACATATAGAATTTTCATGAAAAATTTAATAAAAATAAAAACATTGTATTAAATTAAATTTTATTTTTTCTTTTGGCCAAAATAATGAATCAAATTTTATATAAATTTTAAAAGTGTTTCTGTTTTGAAAAATTTAATCACTCATCAGTAATTTAACTTCTATGGATTAATATATTTAATCGATCAAATAATAAGAATTTGATTAAAATAAAAAATATTGTCTTAATTTAAAATTGATAAATATTAGAAGGACTTGAAGATTAATTTTTATAAAATATTCAAATAAATAAAAATTATCTTATTCCATAGTAAAAAAAAATTACTGTTTCTTGGTTTTTCTTAACTTTTATACAATGTGATTTATATGTTAGAAAAATAGGTATAATTTTCTAAAAGTTTTAAAATTATCACTGGACAATATCTTGTCAATATACATTACATGGCATTATTTTAATATTTTTTTTCTTATTATGGTAAATGCAATTGTTGACACAAAATGATCATCCAAATTCTCACATAGTGGCTATCTTATTTTAGGAAGATCACGTGAAAATTCAAGGACTAGTAGAATACATGTAATCTTAATTATAATTGATATTTAATTCATAAGGATTAATTGATTTGTTTTAAAGGATGATTTGTATATTCTTTCAGATTCTTAATATAATTTTGTATCATCTATATGTACATGGATTAAATCAAAGGGATTTGAACCCTTAATTATTAATCATACTCACTTAATTTATTCTTATAATTTAAGTCAGCGTTAAATGGTTGGCAAAAAGAGGGGGATAAATCAGCTCTATGGTGGAATGTTACTCGTGTTTATAATGTGAATCTAAGTGATATAAAAGGAATGAAATAATGATGATAATGATAATGATGATGAATGAATGATAGGAAAAATTAATGTGAAATTAAATCACTTTTTTTAACAAAATCAATATATTTTTTACATATTTTTTATGTATCAAAGCTCTTTGTTGTTTATGTTCCTCTAATTTCAATTCCCACCAACTCATTACCATATAACTTGTTTTATCAAAATAAACAAATACGATGTATTTAAAAAAAAAAAAAAGCAGAATTGGAGGGTAGAGTTAGGTTAATCTAACCTAATCAAATAGATTAGTTAGTGGGAGAATTAATTGGATGAATATACATTAGGGATCATAGGACTAGGTGTATTCTCAAGGGAATCAAGTTCCATCCTCATGGAGTGCTCAATAAGTCAATATAGACCATTGAGGTTAATTTTTCCACAATTCAAATCTAGTTTAATTCAATTTTTTATATTTTCAACAATTTTCATCTTAATATATGTAAAACTTAAAATAAAATAATTGTATAACTGTCACTCTAAAAAATAAATTTATAATTTAAAATTAAAAATTGTAAATATCAACTATCAACTAAACTAAACTTGAACAATTCAAATCTCATCATTATGATATAAGCATCCGTTGATATGAGAGCATCGAATGAGGATCTACTGGGAAGTAAAAATGACACTTTTATTTCTCGAGCTTTTATAATTTATAGTTGATATGTCATGGTCATTGTCTTTAGTTACCAATATTCTTTTAAGGAAATTATTTTCAAGAAGGAAAAAAAAGTATAAAAATAAAAATAAAATCATTACTCTCTTTATTAACAAATGTAATTTATTTTTAATTGAATCCATTCCTAATAAGTTAGTTAATAATTTTTAAACTAACACTTATTTTTTATATTTATCTCTATTTAATAAGGTGTTTTACTTAAAACTAAATATAATGTGATTTATTTATAAAGGATATTTTTGGTAAAAAATACATTGAGTACACCTTGAAATATTAAAAATAATTTATATTTTTTAATATCTAACTTAAAAAAAATCTTATATTTTTAAATAAAAAAATAATGGTGTTGAAATACAAGGACAAAAAATGAAAGAAAATACAACTATCAACACAAAATATTAAATTATTATTGTTATTATTATTTTGGAAAATATTGTACAGTTTGTCAGCGTAGCATTGAAAAGGTATAGAACGATTCTGCCATGAAGGGGCAATGAATGAAGATTGAAGGGTAAGGGGAAACAGGAGGAATGATCACATGCAGCCGAAGGAAGCTCCGAGATTTTATTCACCGCCACGTGTAAAATCCTCAAGGGGACCCCGTTCACACCCAGCAGGTTACCGGTCAACAACACGCGTCCGGCAGCCGTGGGCCCCACCAGGCGTCCTCCATCAGTCATCACATTAATTGCCATCACCGTTGCGTCGCCATTCTCTTTCCGGACCATCTGTCACCGACACCTGCCGGTCACCCCCAAGGTGGGAAACCTCCCTCGGCCAACCTGTTATCCAAATTCGCAACCCGAGAAGTCCTTTCACGCACAAGAATAACAGAATCCCCAAACTATCCCTTTCTCTTTATTTATTTATTTATTTATTTGTAATAAACTAAACAATTACAACATCGACACACACACATTTGACATTACACATACACACACTTGAACGCAATTTTTTTTTTTCTAGAACAAAAAAATGGAGAATATGTGCCTAAGTTAGAAAATCAATGGAGGAGAATCACAAGAGAGAACCAGACTTCAAGTCGTCTTCTTCTTTCTCGTCCTCCATGGCAACAACATTTGCCGATGAGGTTCCGATCAACCAAGCTTCTGCTTTCTCCACCTTCTTCGATATGGCGCCGTATGGTTCCTACGATCATCGTCATCGTCACCATCATCAACCTGACGACAAGTCTAGCAATTACAATTCCTTTGGGTTCAAGGACTTGTTGGGCGTCCAGGATTACGGTACCCCTTCTTTGTTCGATTGGGTTCCGCCACTGCCGCCACCGGAGCCACTACCACGGTGTCGCCCGTCGTAGGTGATGCAGTCCTCCAGTCCCTACCATCGCAGGTGAGCTCCGGCGGGGTGCTGAATACTCCGGCCACCCCGAATTCCTCGTCACTCTCATCCTCATCAAACGACGCGGCCACCGGCCCCAACAGTGGCGGCTGCGGCAGTGCGATGGAAGAACAGCAGAATTGTAAAGCAGAGGATGAAGATGTGGACGGAGGAAGAGGAGAGGACCAAGAACAAGACAAATCTAAGGAACAGTAAGTTTTCATTTAGTCATTTAGTTAACAATAATTAATTCACGGTCATGTCATTTTTATAAATCTTTCCTCCGTTGGAGCTAGTCTGTGATAAATAAGCAACAAATAAATAAATAAAAGGTTGGATATCTAAAATCAATTGATTTTACTCTGGGTGACAACATTTGACTTTGTCAAAATAAAAAAATAAAAAATCTGAGGTCCGATCTGTCTGTTATGATCTTCACGCTTGTGCTTCATGTTAAGGCTTGCTCTGTCCTGTTTTGTTACGTTGGTGAGTGTATTACGGGTTAACTTCACCAGTTTAATAAAATACTTCCATTCATCAATCTAATTACAATTTTGACCATTAATTTTTGAGTAAGTGATTTTGACCAGTTGAGTTTGCAGTAACTCGGCCTTATATATATAACCTCACTGTGAAAAGGCGAAAAATACCAAAAGGCGTTATTGAATATTTGATGAGCGGTGTTGGGAATAAATTTGAAAAATGTATGGTACTTTTATTAATTATTGTTATTATTAGGGTGAAACCAAAGAAGAAGAAGCAAAAGAAGGAAAGACAGCCGAGATTTGCGTTCATGACAAAGAGCGAAGTGGATCACCTCGACGATGGCTATAGGTGGCGCAAGTACGGCCAAAAAGCTGTCAAGAACAGCCCTTTTCCCAGGTTCCATTCTCCAATCTCAATTCTCTCTCTAGCTCTCTCTCTCTCTAAAATCTTGACTTTTTGGCTTTCCCATATTCATGTCTTTATATATGTATGCCCACATGAGATTCTTCAAACTATATACACACTTCATGGATTGTTGATCTAACCAGAGTCCTTGGCATTGCGTGAAGATTAAAAAGTTCGGTTTATGTACAGTATTGAATTTCTTTGGGATATCAATGTAGGTTTTTGGGAAAACCTAGGATTTGGTTGTTCCGAACTGGTTTGGATTTCTTGCGAGTCAAGAAAATGGTGACCTGAAGCGAATATATGTGTGCGCGTGTGAATGTGCAGGAGCTATTATCGGTGCACGACGGCTGGTTGCGGCGTGAAGAAGAGGGTGGAGCGATCATCGGACGACCCTACCGTCGTGGTGACGACCTACGAGGGGCAGCACAAGCACCCAAGTCCGGTGGCGGCAGCGGCGATTCGGGCGGGCTTTGGGTACGGCGGCGGCGGTTTTGGTTCGACGCACTTGGTGGTTCCACAGGCGCAGATGATGAATGTGTCGTCGTCTTCGCCGCCGCCATTGTTGTATAACTCAAGCTCGTCGTCGTTGGGAATTGGATCTAGCAGCTACATGAACATGAATTCATCGACGACGTCGTTTTTGAGCTCTTATCATAACAGCAACAGATCAGATTTTGGAGTTCTAGAGTCTAGAATCGATGAAGCTACTAGCTTTTTAAGAGACAATGGGCTTCTTCAGGACATTATTGTGCCATCGCAGATGATGATGAGGAACAAGGATGATGAAAAGCGGCGATATAATTGTACTGGGTAATATGTTATATATATAATTAATTAAATTTAATATATGTGTATCGGTTTGTCATATGCTTTCTCATATTGGATTTAATATATATTAGTGATCACTTGTGAAAGCTACCATATATAGTGTTTGCATGTGGGCTATATATATGGCTAATTAGAGGATTATTCTAATTAAGTATATTAGATTTTGTTGTTATGGAGGCCTAATCAGATTTTGATTGTGCGACTCTCGATCAATATAATTTCTAGTTTTCTTTTCTATGTTTTTTTCACCCTTTGGGGGTTTTTTTTTTGGTCATTGAGATTTATTGGACTATATATATGCGTGAATCATTAATTATTTACCTTTGTTTATGCACTTATATGGTTATTTAGTACAATAGATTCTGTTTGTTTGTTTGTTTTTTTTTTTGGTTAATTTGTCACAGGGTTGGTGAGGAAAGTTGTAAGAATATATGTTCAGGATTAGTACTTTTTTTTTTTTTCTCTTGGTGAAATTACACACGTGGTAATAAATTCTTCGTCTTTTTGGGTTCATTCATGATGTCTTTATGATATCGGAGTACTATAGTTTTATAATGCGAAAAACAAGAGAATGAGAGTTTTAAAAGTTTAATCATAGTTAGATTCTTCACTTTTTTTTTTTTTGAAAAATGAGTTTCAAATATTACTTGATTCATATAAATACAAAGTACGAGTTACATTTAAAATTTAAATATCTTATTTATAATTATATAAATTGACATTTGCAACTTAATTTTTAAGAAATTTCATTGAGAACCGACCTGTCATAATTAATTATATCTTTTATGAGTTTGACAAAAAGAGGCAAGTGGTCAAGAATGTAATAAGTTATCAACTTACTAAAAACTAGATAATTACATGATGAACAACTTTAGACTACCCACGCATAAAGTCTATTATATTATATACTTTTTATTAAAAAATATAAGATATTTTTAATTAAATCACGCTTCATATAAGTTAGTTAATTATATTTAAATTAATGTTTTTTTTACATTTGCTTATTTAATAGGCTGTCTCACCTAAAAGTAAAAAGTGAATGATTCAAATTTAATTAGTTTATAAAACATAATATCACATAATAAATAAATAAATAAATTTAAAATGTTAAAATTTGACTTGCATAGTTTATAGCTCTATATTATTATTTAAAAAAATTATAAATTATTTTTTATTTTATTGCAATTATAAATTGTGCAAATCAAATTTTAATAGTTTAAATTTCTTTATCTATATTTTTAGTTTAATATTATGTTTTATAGAACAATTGAATCTCAACATTCATTTCTTATCTAAAAGGGGAGATAGGAAGTGGACTTGAGTAGGAATTAGGGCTAGAATTATGAAAAGATGGAATGGTAATGAGAATTCAATGTAAATCAAGAATGGGAAAATGCTAAAAATAAATGAAGAAGAAAATAAAATAATAAGAAAGAAAAATAGGAGTAAGAAATTTTTCACTTTATACTCTTGTCTCTTTTCTTCCAACGTATTCACCTACATATGAAATAATAAAATTAACAGAAAATGTATTTTGGAGAATTAAAAATAATAAAATTTAAAAAATATGCAATAAATTCTAATTTTTTTCTGAAAATAGTCATTTGCCTTCAAATCACAAATGTTATCCAATTATTCTAAATTAAATCAAAACAAGTGCTAACAAGACAAAAAAAAGTGAAATTATATATATATATATATATATAATATGAGAATTATTAGAGAAGAAAATGAGAAAGAGGGATTACGAAAGGATCCGTCCGTTCACCTTGTATGTCTATTCTCTTCTCAACATCATATTGTTGCTTGAGAGAAATAAAACCATTCAACCTGCTAAAAATAATGGTTGGATTTAGTGAGAAAGATTACTCTCACAAATATGATAAACTAAGATTTGAACTTTTATCAAGAAAAGTACCCACATATGTATACCCTACCAAGTGACTACATCTCAAATCAAACAAAATTGCCTTCAATAAAAAAAACATGTATATATGCACAACAAAAACCATTGAACCTCAAAGCTTGCCCGCAATGCAAGGGATGGAAATACAGTGATTGGATGAAATTTTATGAAAAGTGTTGTGAATTCATATCTCTAAACATAAGATCCATTCGTATAAGGAAGTTGGGGAGGGACAATATAGAGACATGATAGAAAATGAGAATACCTAAAAGAAAGGTGAAAGATCAGTCGAACATGAAAAAAGAACAATATTGAAAAAAAGAAAAATAAATAAATAATTAAAAAAAGGAAGATTGAATTCGAAATGAATGATACTTTTTGAAGTTTTTCCGCAAAGAGGTGAAACACTATAACTAAAGTGACAATTATCAGAGAGAAGTGAGAAGCAAGAAAAAGAGCATTCATATAGGGAAGGTGTGACTTGTCTCCTATATGTGTGTGTGTATATATTCCTAAACTTTCCAGCCATTAAATTCTTCGTATCTTCTTCAGTCTTACTCTTCATGTCCCAATCACCTAGATGCTTTTTAGTGCACACTAAATAAACATCTATTTTTTCATTATATATGTAAAATATGACAAAAAAAAATTATAGCATTCATAATTTATAAATAGTTATAATTTTTTATAAATTTTTTACACTAGTCACTTGTAGAAAAACCCTAATTAACGACTCTCAGGGGTATGATAATCTTCTCAATTTAATTCTCTGCTGATCTGCACTTCTATTGCTCAACAAGAACAATATGTAGACAATCCTCAAAACAAGGGTCTGTTCTTGTTTTATTATTTTTATTTATTTTCACATTTTTTTAATTTATTGAGCATGCAGAATAATAAAGTAGTAGAAAAACTGAATTAAATATGGAGGTAGTAAAAGTCTATTTTCTAAAAGTTCTTTTGTCTTGCAAAAGGGATATCTAAACATGCACTTAATATTGCATCAACAACGAAAAAATTTTTAGATAACGTATAGGTGTTCTCTTATTAAAGATTATTTTATTTGCAATAAGATTAGATATACAATATGAACACATTTCCTAATAAAAATCGAGCATTGATTACTCATATTATAAGAAATTAATTTTTTTTACTATATCCAGTCAAATTACACCTATTTAAAAGGTGTTCATTAGGTCCAATCATAAGCCCAATCCTCCTTATCATAACAAGGACAAGGCACTATTTGCCTAGCCCACCATGAACAAACACACACATTTATAACACGGATGGGATGTTATTTATTCTAAAAATAATTGCATGAATATATGCAAGTTAAGTTACCTAACGAATGCATTACTGTGAGAAGATAATACTATTCTCTCTTGAACAACAAGGTTATATCTGGCACAAGTGGTTGATATCTCATAATTTAATGAACCAATATTTAAATCCCTGTCAGGAAAAATGCTCATTACATTTACCTATTGATTGAAAGAAAAAGAAAAATAAGGAGAAGTGAATACTATAAAAGTTGTTTGGATGAATGGAAATTTAGATTTAAATTTGAATCAAACTCTTCATTTGGCTATACAAAAATTTGTAGATATGGACAGGGATGGATCTAAAGTTCAATAGGTGGGGGGCCAAATGAAAAAGAAAATAAAGAATGGGGCAAAATCCATAATTTTTACTAAGGGGTATATAGCATTAGGGGGAAAGAACCCCTCATACCTGCCACTAGATATAGATTTAATTCAAGTCTAAATTTATTTTTTATTTTAATTGCTTTCTAATTTTAAATTTCATCTACTTTTTACTTATTTAAAATTTTAGTCACTTTAAACATCCCATACTCTTTTTGTTACTATTGATGCTTCTATAACTCTCATGTCTTTTCTCATTTGTTTTAATCTTTCATCGATTAAACAAATAAGAATAAATTCATTACTCTTAATTTTCTATTTTCATTTCAAATATCAACTTATTGCTTTTCTTCATTTAAAATTTTTTAACTAGCCAAACAAAGAATTATGATACATGTATTTTAAATTTGAGATTTGGAATGCTAGATTTAAAATCTAAAATCCAAATCCACAAATTCAAACACTATTTTGCAAAAAACTTTTAAAAGTAGTATTAAAAAATTTACTATTTATTAAGAGTTTTACCTCTTGCTAGTCCCTCCTCCTACTTTTCCTTCCCTTCATCCAAACTATATTTTAGTGTTTGATCATATTTTAAATATAATTACTTCTAATCAAAAGACATATACACATAGTTAAAAAAAAGTACTATTTCTATCTATATCCATATAATTAATTCCTGCCATATATAGTTCACATCCTTGTACTTATCTAATGATTTAAGATTTCATCAAATCTTTTTGGCCATCATATTATTAGGTTGCATCAAAATTGGTGGACTTAGGTGAGTGCTTCCTTCAACATGCAAACTTCTTTATTCTTTTCTTCCTTTGCAAGTCTCAGAATATGACTGACAATAACATGCATATACGTGTGTGTTAGAATTGGAAGCCTCAAAGCGCGTACACAAAATCAATATCAATCATGCCCATCAACATCAATAAGAGATCAACATCCACATAAAATAAAAATATAATTTGTAATAAATTATACCTTTTGTGAAAAAAATATAAAACATTTTTAATTAAATCTCATCCCTCAATAAAGTAGTTATCTATTTTTTCAACTAACCCTATTTTTTTTATATTTATTCTTATTAAATACCCTATAATAAATATAAAGTTATTATCAATATGGACACTTTTAAAAAAAACAATGATTATATTTTGAAAGATTAAAAATATTTTACATTTTTAAATAGAGAGAGTACCATTAGTTCGTAATAAAAAAAAACCTTTACAAAATTTAATAAACTATTGATAATTAATTTTAAAAAATACAATTGTCTCTCTCACTCTTATATAATTATGTTTTTATAATTAAGGGTAACTTTAAAATATTTTTAAAAAATTTATATTTCACAAATTTTAACTAAATTTCTTAATATTAAGAAAGTAGTTAATATAAACTTATAAAAACAATACCGTGGTATAACGTATAAGTAGTAAGTAATAAAAAAAAAACACCAAGTTATGAACATGTTATATGTGGCACGTGCATAAGATTTAGACTAAAATATAAAATTGATGGTTTTTCTCTAATATAGTTACTATGACTTATTTATTAAATTACATTTAAAGTTAATTTTAAAATGGATGCTAATTTTTCATAAGTTATTGTTTCAGAGATAAGAACTTAATTAGAAGCTGGGTGATATATCATATATGAAATGGTTATAGAAAACAAGCACTATATCTATTTTGAGATCATCTTCCTCTTAAACTTTAACATCATTTAAAGTTCTAATTTTTTTTTTCATGTCTACTACCCTTATTTAATAGGGTAATTTAATCACAACAAATAAATAAAAAAATTTCATTGATATCGAATATTTCATTAAAGACATTTTTGAAAAAATTTCATTAATTTCTTCTAGAAAATATAAAAAATTCCTTATATTTTTAAGCATGATATCTCCAAAAAAATACTTTATAATTTTGAAATGGAGCGGATACTTACATCTTCTAGTCTACTTACTTATTTTCTAACGTTTTTCCCCCCTTAAATTTCATGTAATATATGAACAATATATAACTAACATCTTAGATATTTAATGGCAAACAAAGGTATTTGAAGCTAGCCACAAAGCCACCTTGTGTTTAATATTGTTTATGATTCTGTAGCTTAAAAACAAAAAAAAAAAAAAAAACAAAACAGAGGTTGAGGGCAATAACCAGAAGGTAGATAAAGTTATGTGATCACTCGAATCTTTTGAATATGATGCCACCCCACTGTCAGTTTCGACATTATCTTTTTAATGTTTCCCTCTCTCTCTCTCTCTCTCTCCCCTGTTCTTGCGACTAGGTATTATTAATTTGACTTTTTCCCCCAATCATATTAACTGCAATACATTAGGATAATTTAAGTAACCAAGCTAGTTGTTGGTTTAATATTTTGCCAGCTTTTAGGCTAAAATATACTTTGATGCCAATGATCGTTTATTACCTTTTTTATTATTAGTATTATTATCATCATCACTATTACATAATAGATTAAAAATTCAAAATTTAATTTGACATGAAAATGAATTTTAAAAAATTTTAAACCGAAATAATAATGAACCAAAGTATTATTATGCAGCATTAATGTAACTTCAAAACATGTTCATATGTATATGACATGCCAAAAAAAAAACAAAAAAAGGTTTCTCTTGTATGGTTGGTCAGATAGGAATAGTTATAAAGTTTCCCGAAAAGAACAAACAGACTGCTTGTTAATTGATAAACAAGAAAAAGAAACTTTTTTTTTTTATTCTTTGCTTAAGATGCAAACATGATCACTTAACCTCTTCCACACTTCGAAATTCAACAAACCAATAATATGTTAGAATTGGGTTATTTGTAAATTCACACTTTAAAATGCATATAAACAAAATATATTAAAAAAAGGGAGAGAAAATAAATGGGCAAGACTTTAGGTACTTAATCTCATACACTTAATATATTTTTATCCAATCAAATCAAAACAAGTAAATTTTAATGTGTTAATAATATTAATAATAAGAGTTTATTTATGCAATAAATAATCTATAAAAGATTCATATGTTTTGATTTAATTGAAAACAAATATATTAAATATATAAAATTAAGTATATAAGTTTTTCCCAACACATATGAGGGAGAAATAAGATTTTCACATAGCTAGAAAACAAGTTTTTATATAATTACATTTTTTGCATCATTGTTTGTTTAACTACACGATTGTTAGGATGATGAACTGCTTTTTTTTCCCTTGATTATATAATTTTTTTAGAATAATTCAAATATATATACATATATTATTATTTCGCATTATACATAAATTTTTGTTTATTTTAAAATATAAATAAATAAACTCTTAAAAAAATGTTGCTAAAACATCAGTTTCATTTTGATTTTTTTTCACTGAATAAAATTCAGTGTCAGCTCAACAGCCATGAACCCATAGTTGATGACAACTAAATTAGTCTATTGGATAGCCATGGACCCAATTGTCGATCATACGCAAGCAAAACTCACCTTTCAAGGCAACATCTTAATTAGTCTTCTTATGTGCAGGTATTGTAGTGATTTGGCATCAATTTATATTTTATTCATTTTAATTTGTTAACTTTCATGTTTCTTTTACTATGTACGAGCATCCGAAGATTATAGCCTTTTCGTTTCGATGGTTAAGCCTTTGTTGGTTACTTTCTCTCTCTCTCTCTCTCTTTCCCAGATGCAATTTTCTTGAGTTTCTTCCTGAAAAGTGAGAAATTTACTTGTTAACTTCAGCATGCTTATCAAGATGGTAGGCTTCAGCAAGTAGTTCTGAGGCGTCTTAGGGCTGCAGATGGCAATAATCTGATCGCTAAAGACATCAAGTTCATTCTTCCATTTTATCAATTTGTTTGTCTTCTATTCTGTTCTGTTCAACCTTTCATCTATCCTTCTACCTCATCTATTTTTTTTAAAAAAATTTCACTAATTGATGTCTGGGGTGGATTAACTGATGCCCTGCTTGGGTGCTTGTTGCTTTGTATTCCCTTCTCCTTCACTAAGTTGTTGTCATGGACTTGCTTGGGCCTATTCTTTGGTATGCTAAATGTTATTTGTGACAATGTAGGATTCTAAATAAGTTGACTCCTGAGAGTTTTGATCTCTTGAAGGCTCAACTGATCAAATCTGGCATTACATCACTGAAATTCATTCAGAGGCCAAAAAAACAAATCTTGGATTGTGCCTGAGTGCCACTGCAAACATTAGATACACTCGGACTGTTTAGGAAAATGCCACTCCTGAGGGATTCCCCATTGATCGACCTGGTACTGGGGGTATGACGCTTGGACTGTCAGGGACCAAGAAGATACCATTATCTTTTTCTCTTGTCGTTTAAGTGGACTTGCATCTTTTCTTTGGGGTAGGGATTTGGGTGCTCTATTAGTTGAATTGCCAAAACTTAATGTGTGACATGAGAAAGGCAATGACATTAGCTGATGTTATTAGTTGAAGTTAGCAAAAAAGCTTGAGATTTTTAGAATCCAGGGGAGGATAGCAAGTTTTTCTCTCTCCATGTTTTATCAAAATTTTAACGTCGCGCGTATAACTGTTTAAATCTTGATTACTGCTCTAATTATGTGCACGGGATTCAATCTAGGATTTTCTTGGTTTTAGTTTTATAAGACATTTAGAAGGATTTTAGTTGGTTCAATTTGAGACTCAAACTCGTGAAATTATCTACTAGCATTTTTCTATTTTGTCCTCTTATATTGATTATAAAACAATAGCATCAATTATTAAAAATCACCATTTAACTCTGTAAATAAAAATATTTTCAAAAAAAAAAACCTTTATATTTAATTTATATACTTAAAGTGTTTGTATTCAATTAAATCAAAATATGTGAAATTTTTATATATTATTTTTTCTATAATAAATCCTTATTATAAATTAAATTAATATATTAAAATTCACATGTTATGATTTAATTTAATATAAATATATTTAATTTGATATAAATACATTAAACATATAAGACTTAAAAGATCAAGTACATAAGCCTAACCTTTTGAAAAATAATTTGCATGGTAACACTTATTACATCTAACATCTAACTGATTTCAACTATATCACTGTTATATTATTTTATGAAAAGATACCACCGTCTCGTTGATTGGGTTATTCATCACTTGTAAAAAAGATTTGTCGGGCGGTTTAAAATCCAAGCCAATTTGATTGAGTTATTCACCTCATTTAATTAAAATGATTTCAGTTTGACATAGTTCAATTGAAATTATTGCCGTTTTAACGAGACTTCAACGATGTGGCTGACTTGGGAAATATTATTACGTAGTCGTAAAGCTAGAAGTGTTAAATGATTATGTTGAGAATATATAATATAATAATTTACGGAAGGGGGAAAAAAAGACTATGTTACATAGAGACTGTGGAGGAACTTTATTTGTTAAATAGATTTGACCCCCACAGGCTTTCAAGTCCTAAGAAACTAAGTAACAGTGAAGAAACCTTAACGAGGACCAAATGCTGTAATGGTGGCTGCAAAATGGACTCTTGGGTGACAAGCTTTTCATTTGTGCTCAAAGATGTCACAAAGCCTACCTTCAACGTCAAATTACAGGCTCTGTACCTCAGCCATTAAAAGGTTGCTGCAACCTCTTCATGTGCACCACCTCAAAGCTCAATCTACCACGAATTTCAAATCCCTGCAGGTCAAGATACAGGAAATGTCATGTCCAGAATTTTGTCAAGCTCACAGTCGGGAAGAAAATGAGGCCTGTTTGGAAGGGAAAGGGCTAGGGTAATTTAATTCATAAAATTAAAAATCATGATTCATGTGATTTTTGGACGGTACAGTGATTCCTATATTTATAATATGTGGTATTAGGTTTTATCATACTTATTATAAAGGAATAGTAATTTAGTTCAGTTTTGTTCTTATTTCTTTAATCCATTCCGTTCTCATTTTTTCCAACAACCAAACAACTCCTGAGACCTAAGCAGTAATCCACTTTAAGAACATTAATCAGCATGGTGATTGGCAATTCATTGTTGCTCCCTTCAATTGTCCTTGTGATCCGAACTCACATAACTAATGTCGAAATTGAAATCAAATGAATTTCCTACAACCCCTTATGGGAAAAAAAAAAAAAGTAAATCTAACTCCATCGTGGAGGTTGGGTCAAATTGGAATGGACAGGTTGAAGTTATAGCAACGCTCAGATATTAGTAGCATCATAACCCACCAATTGGCAGCAAACTACAAGCACCAGAAATGTTGAAATCAGGTAAAAGAAATGGCACCTGCTGGCTTATCCTTCCACATCCACTCTTGCATAGCATACATTCCCTGCGATGGTTTCAGGAAACAAGGGTTAGACTAAACAGAGAGTGAACAATAGATGAAGTTGTGACCTGTCAGTTCCAAACAAGTGCAAGCCAACTTCCTTAAAGACCAGAACAATTTCAAATATGTACACCGGAAAATATTACCATGCAGAAACCCCCCCCCCAAAAAAAAAAAAAATTAATGCTCAAGAAAAATACAGTGAATGGGGTGCTGAACATTATACAATAATGAAGTGAGTCAACATATACTCCCTCCAGTCGTATATTTTAATCATCGCCTCTAGAACAAATTAATGGTCATACATATGCAAGTCACTTTGGCTTAAAAAAAAAAAAGTTGTTTGCATTAATTAGCTTTTTTCAAAACCAACCTTGTATACAACTACCTAGAATAAAGCTTTTAAATAGAGATAAACTTGGAAAAGTTGTTTCATTTTTAGACCATTTTAATGATTTGATGACTTAACTACCTCTTTTTGGTTTCTGGTGAGGCAGTTAGGAGTGCCTTATACTTAGGATTGGAGGGAGTATAGATCAATAGTAGTTGTCTCTCTATAGACCATAAAGGCATGCCTGACCAAAAATTCCACTTTGACCCCTTCCAGCTAACAAAGGGAATACTGATAAGTTTTATTACTCAGAATTATTTTCACAGCAACATTGCAAAATCCAAGGTAGCATCAGTCATTGCCTACAGCTACATAATCAACAAAATATTTAGAGTCCCAGGGATCACATTCTACAAAGAGTCCTAGAAACTTCTCCAAGAAAAGTAGGATACAAGATAAAGGCAATTACACAAATTTGAAAAAGAATGTTACCTGAACATTTTGATGACCAGCAACTGCATATGCCTGGTACTAGAATTCCAAAAGGTAATATCAGCATAGTAAGATCATCTTTCAACACTACACTAGATACCAACAGAGACATTAAGATACAGAAACATATTGTACCTGTTGCTGGAGAACCTGTCCTTGGAGTTGGCCTTGAGGCTGTAATTGTTGCATTTGAGGAACTTGCTGAGGTGATATTGGAGGCTGTGACTGGTTTTGAGATTGCTGAACAGATGGCTTTTGCTGTTCGGATAACGTCAACTCTTCAGGTTTCTCCCACTATAGATCCATGTAAGAAAACTTCAGTTACAATGTAAAAATATAAAAGGGGGGGCGGGGCACAAAACAAATAAAGAAACCAAAAGGCAACTCAAATGAATACCAACCCGACTTTCACCAGTAACACTATTGTGATAGTACTTGAAGCCCTCAGGAGAGATATGCTCTGTCCAATCACATTTTGCAGGAGCTATGTTCTGATTTATTGCAGGTACAGCAGAAGCAGACAAGGATGAAGGCACATCTGCAGTTGGTGCAGCCCCCGTCCACTGAGGCTAAAGAAACAATTGAATGTTATTAAAAGGAGGAAACACCAAAGGGATATGCGTTCTATCTAAACAAACAGGAGATGCACAAATGATGCATCTAATCACCATTAGCAAACAATCAAACACAAAAGTTGAAAACCAGTCAGGCAATATAGTGAAAAGTCGACAATCTAGAATCTACAAGTTGAAAACAATTCAAACAATACTGAAAACTTCTAGCTTGCATTAAACCTGGAGGGCATCTTCAAAGACAAATTCAACAAGACAATTCCCTCAGTGAATTAAGAGACCACTTATTGTCAATTCATAAAACTTCATGTATGGAGAGACGTTCAACAACCACAACAGTTTCCCTCCAAATCATGAACTAATTTATTAGTTCATACTTATATTTTAAAATACCTGTTTTTTCATAGATTCTGCATTTTGCTGTAATGTTAAACCTTGACTTGAGGGTTGCATCATTTGTAGTTGCTGTTGAAGCTGGGAGAAGGCCTTCTGAGATGAATGAAAGCTTGCTTGCAAAGTCTGAGTTTGTTGTGACAACATTTGTGCCAACTGAGACGGAGACTGCTGAGGCATAGAGGTAGATAGTTGCTGTTGATTTGTAGTTGTCAATGTTGTATTTGCTTGCAAGCTGGTGTCTAAAGGAGCATGGCCCTGGGCAGTTGTAGCAGAAGAAGCACCCTGCTGTGCTTGAGGCTGAGAAATTGGAAAGTGTCCATTTAGACCATGCACCTGTTGTGAAAGAAGAAAACCAGCAGAAAAAGGAAGTTGCAGCTGGCCAACCTGTCTAAATGATGCAAGAGGTGGTGTTTGTGAGTAGGGGATTGGTGCTGGAGGGTACATCTGGAGGGAAGAAGGCTTGTCCTTAGGTGATTGAATAGGCTTCTGCAGTGGCGACATTTGTTGGCTGGCTGGTGGAATATGTGGAATGTTTTGATTGAAATTCTGAAAGCAATGAAACATTTACTAATCTATTTCAAGCTGGAAAAGATGGAGTGAAGCCAGAGCAATCTCCAAATACCTGTTGTGACATCGATGACAGAGCTTGTCTTTGAAAAGGACCATTTGAAGGGCCTCCAAAGCCATTCACAGGACCACCCTAAATTTGTTTAACCAAAAGTAAATGGATGGTGCAAACATCACGTTACCATAGAAACTAATAATTAATAAATATAACAAACGAGGAGGAACAGAAGAAATAAACAGGAAATATAAATACATCTAACCATAAATTTCACGAGCTAAAAAGCTTCTTTTACTAAATTAGCATCTCAATCGCTCAAGGTACTTCTTTTTTCAAGAAGACCACATCTTACATATTGTCATCAGAAACTTGGTAGCTGCTTATCAACTGCTCTGCGGATTACATCTTAAAATGAGAACCTTTATAGCATTCCCTCCTCATTCATTGAGAGGATAGAAAGATAACAGCACATCATTTTAGAGGTGGTGCATTCTCACTATTAGAAGCATTAAGTGCATGTTTGGATTAACTTCTAACCTCAGTTAGAATGGATCAAACTGAGGTTAGGATATAAAAAGCCAAAAAAGTATTGTTTGGATTAGCAAAAATTTTCAACCTCAGTTAAGGTTAAACGAGCATTTTTTGAGAAGCCACAAGACCTGGCTTTTTTTCCTCAACATTAACGTATGGCTGCTGGACGCATTAATTGGCTTTTAAATTTTTATGCTTTCTCTCTCTTCTCATTTATCTACCACGAGCTCTGCTTTCTTCCTGTGCATCTTCCTTTCCTGCTCCCGTGACCTCCCAAGCTCTACACTTTTAGATCTGGTCCATCATCATCCTCATCTGCTTCTTCATCCTGACCCTCCTTGGCTTTCATGAACAGCAAAATCTAGCTTCTCTCATAACTCCGCTAACACTTGGGTCTTCGAGGATGGATATGATAAGATATTTGAGCTCAACTTTCATGGCTAAGAGAGGTTTCTCCTACTGTTGCTTTGAACAACCACAATGAAATGAGCTTGAGCACACTTGAGGGCAGCCATTAAAGCATTGAAAATGGGAGGTTCCATCTCAGCCATTATATTGTTAGTTAGATTTAAGCTCCTTCACACTCCATGATCTCCTTCTTCCTGCCCCTGTTTGAGCTCTTAAAACAGAGCTCAAGAACTCTTAAAACAGAGCTGAAGGGCTCTTCCTGCCAAGTTCCATACACAAGGGAACTTAGAGTTGATGGCAAGGTGTTCCAATGAACCTCCATCATACGCATGGAAGCTCCCAATATTCACAGACGGTGAGGAGAGGGAGTGAGGGAATGAAAGAGAAGACATACTAGAGGTAAGGGAGAGGGCGGAGAGAGATGCTTGTCTGGTATAACCATCGCCTGGTGGAAGTGGACTCACAGTGGTGAGGAGAGAGAGTGAAAGAGTGGGATTGTTTTATCAGTGAAGGAGGAGAAGGAGCAAGAAGAAGGAAAAAAAAAAAAAAAGATATGATGGCGAGGAGTCAGAGAGAACAATGCCATGTGTTAAATTCAGAGAGAACAATGTCAGAGAGAATAAATGTCCATTAGTGGCAAATTAATGGATTTGATGATTTTGATAATTAATAATTTATTGTATACCACCTCATAATTAATTATTAAATATTTAATATATTTTATTCATTAATTGTAATTTTAAGTTTAATATTTTTTACTTATTAGTTAGTCAAAAAATAGATAAAAAAAATTCATGTTTATTTTGGTCATTAAAAATTTCAACTGCCTTTTAAATCAAATCATCCAAACAAATTTTAATTTATCTGACTGACTTTTTTAAAAAAAATATATCCAAACATAAATTACGTTACATTGACTGACTTTTTTTCTAACCTCAGTTTGCTAACCTCAATTGAATTCTAATCTCAGTTGTAAATTTTTTAATCCAAACACACTCTAAAATGTTCAATCTGATTTTATAATTGATAAGGTGGTATATGAGCGTATGTACATTAATAAAGTTCAACCTCGAGAAAGAAATCTCCACACAGTTAGTTACCCTTCAACAAATACACTTTCATAATCCTTTTTCTTTAAATAAACAAAGAAGAATGCACTTTCATTCCAAACCCCCTCCCCCCACAACAACAAAAGGGTGCACTTTTTTTCTTCCACAGTTTTTGAATCACTAAATTATGTGAATAAACAAGTCTTTAAGGCTTTCAGATAACAGCCTTAAAGACTTTAAGGCTGAGAAAGAGCAAGAACCTCCTGGCATAGCGCTAAGCAGAAGCCCTTCAGATAACAGCAACTTCAAGGCTTTCAGTGTTTCTCTTTAAATTAGGGAAAAAAAAAACCCAAAAAACATATATTGTCCATGCTCAGTAAGACAAACTTCCAGACAGACTGCCGACAATTGTTATCAAATGGCAATTCAAAACACATATTGGGAGGCTAATTTGAGAATGTTTGTCCATGTCAAAATAATAATAATAATAATCTAGAACCAAAAAAAAAAAAAACTTGAACCAAGAGTTCACATAACAAATTAGCCATAAAGTCTCACAGTCATAAGTGACAAGTCAAAGATTTTGCGTATAGATTTCATCCTGAAAGCTTAAAGCTCCTCATGCCTCACAGCTTTGTTTTGGGAAAATGATTCCACATAACACAGTTGAATGCCTATCATCACCTTTTTGGAAACCACAGCTTATAGTTATGCCACATTGAAGTAGATTTTGATTATGGAAATCTACTCCCTCTCATGGCTCTGGGGAATTGCCAGAAGAAAATAGATTCAGTGCACAAGAGCTAAGACCTATGAGGCTGAATGGACAGTTCTTGTATGCAAAGAAGGAAAATAACTTACAGCCAAAGTTTATAGAGTGAACATAGAATAGGGAAGATAATCAAAGCGTTGAAGAGATAATATCAAATACCAAGAAAATCAAAATGAACTGTTCAACTCCGTTAATGTAGGTTTGTAACCCAGAAAGAAAGGGAAATAGATGGAAAGAAGAGAGAACAGAGAGGAGAGATTCAGAGGGTTGAGAGGAAGAGAGACAGAGATTTACCGTATAGCATGGTGAACCATTCTCATTAGGAAAGCATAGATTGATTGACAAAGGCTGTTCCATATATAGGCTTCTAATTCTCATCTTACCCTAACAACTATATTCCTAGCTAACAATAACTAACAACTAATAACAGTAATGTCAACATTACAATGAAATAACATCCGTTTAATCACACACACACACACACACGCAGTCACGTCGGGTAACCTTCACAACTCAATGGGGGCTTCTTGAACTGAATCACTGGAATCAAGTAATTCTGGCGTGAATCACTTGATTCTATAGATTCAGAGACATTTCTGATCCTTCCAACAACATGAATAGATGGAAGAATAAATTGGATAGCATTATGAAATTCAAATTGTAAATTGCATGCGATCAAACTGAGAAATCTGCTCATGGTATGGACAAAGGCAACAAAATAGCAAAGGTATCTTTTCATGTAAAATGGTAGCTTTTATAAATCTTAAAAAATCAAATATTTGATTTGGGGTAGACTTTTATGGAAATATTATACTTACTGCATTCATAGCCAATGCCATGTCCATGTCACCAGATCTTGGAAGCAATGGAGGCCTCATGTTATGCAGACCAGTGATAGATGACGGCCCCATATTTGAAGGATGCATTGGACGCCAGGCATTGGGAGCAGAGGCTTGATCGCCCATGGGATCATTAACACTGAATGGAGGTCTGAAAAAATAAATACAGAATGAAGCAATGATCTAACTCCCAAGCATGAAGAGAAGGCAATTGATGAACCATTCAGAAGAAATTAAGGAAAGGAGAGGATGGAAATGGAGGTACCCAGAACTAGGTGCTTCAAATCTTGGACTAAATGCTGGATGTCTAGGACCTGGTACCTCAAATCTTGGACTAAATGCAGGACCCCTGCAAGCAGCAACAAAATATCAGAAACCTCGTACTTCCATGGAAAAATCACAATGGAGAAATAAATAAGGCAATTAAATTAGGGAAAATTTCATTTAAGACCCTTTGACCACACTTAATGAAAAAGAAAGCCCCCAAAACTCTGAAAATTCACTTCAAGCTAGGGGTACTAAAGTGAAATTACAATGCAGAGTAAAATTACCTTATTGTCCCTCATCCCCTCTAATTCTTTACTGAAGATGTTCTCCCCACATGAAATTGCACATTTCCCTACATGAAGTTGTTCAATAATAGCACAAACAACTTCGTAGGTCAATGAACAACTTGATGTAGGGAAATGAACAATTAATTTTACCATAATTACAACACTTAAAATAAAATCAAGATTTAGTAATGGCGCAAACAATTTCTGTGAGTCAATGAACAATTTCATGTAGGGAAATGAACAGCTTATTTTACCATTATTACAACACTTGAAATAAAATCATAATTCAATAATGGTACAAACAACTCTTGTAAGGAAATAAACAACATGAACAACTTCAATAGAGAATCAAAGGAGATGAGGGACAATGAAATAATTTTACTCTGCATTTTACTTTTACTTCAGTACCCTTGTTCAGAAGTGAATTTTCAGAGTTTAAGAGACTTTCTTTTTCATTAAGTGTGATCAAGGGATCTTAAATGAATTTTTTGCATTAAATTACATAATCAGAAGCGCTGGATTTCAATCTATAATTTGGTAAAGCAGATTGATTGACATTCACATGCATGCTGACAAGAGTTTAGGGTAAAAGTTCATAATGTGAGTCAGGATTAAAGAAGAGAACAAACTGCTTCTCTTAATTTAAAGCAACAAGCATACATTCAAAAAAAGAAAGGAGAAAAAATAGTTTTAAGCCAATAAAAGATCAGGCTCAAGCATTCAGGGTACATCTCAATGATTGTTTAGCAAAGGCTACGGATCAAATTTCAACAGTCACAGGGATTGATGCCCTTTTTATCCACTTCTCATGACAAAATATAGGCTCGTTTCTAGTCCCTACAGCCATTTGAACTGATCCTGCATAACAAGGAGGACTATAGTGGACCTTGAGTTCAATTTGTTAAATAAAAAGGAAGACTCCCAGCTTAGCTTTGATTTTATATACATATTAGTGAACAAGCCAGTCGCTCTAAGTCTGAATATCCATGCTTGGTTTGATCCATTAACATTCTAGTAAATTAATGAGCTTAAATGTCAGAAGGCGCTTGAGGTGACAAACCTTAAATCCCCTTGTCGAGGTCTCTTAGGATCAGCAAATCGTACAGTTAAAGGCTGATCACAACCCTGCACAGAGAAATACATGATAATAAGCAGAAAGCTTTCACATGATTAAAAAAGAAATTGCAACAGAAACGGGTTCAATTTTTTCTTACTCTCATTGTATAAATTCCATTAAGTGCATTTATAGCTGCCAGAGCCATATCTCTGTGAGAGTATTTAACAAAACCACATCCTTCAATCAAAAGAGGAAAATGGCATTGGAGTTAAACACACAGCCAGTGTCAAGGAAAAGCCGACATAAAAATGAATAGCCCCCAAATCGTAATTTGGAAGAAAGGGTAAAATATGGCACTAAAGAAATCGATAAGTACGTACTTTCCCAAGAACAATTAGGAGGCAAAACAACGTTCAAGATTTAACGATTATGTCGTCAGAGATTACAAGTGTTGGATTATTTTATGGAACAAAATAGTCATAGATTTTCCACCAAAGATCTCACAAGGGTAAGGAACACACCACGGCTTTGCTTCTTCTCATCACGCATCAGATAAACATCTTCAACCCGTCCATATTTTGAGAAAATCTGATGCAAGAGACATCATTTAGTTCATGTTCCATGCTTTCTGAATATTAGGTATCACATATAACCAAAGATAGATTAATGCCCTTAAACCAAACTGCCAAAGATCACATTTTCCAAAAATAATTATACAGTTATACAATAGTTGTAAGTTACAGATTACATATTATATATGATATACATAATGAGAATAGATGAAAGTCTGAAATATGAAGTTAATGGATGCATTAACATACTTCCTCAACTTCCTTTACTGTAGCCTGTTTGTTCAGAGAGCCCACGAATAATTTGTATTCAACTGCACCTACAATAAATATTAATTTACAGCAACATTAAATAGTCTGTAAAAATAATCAGAAAATCCATGGCAAGGTCATGCTAAAGCACATCCCAACAAAAAACCAGCTGAATAATGATGAAACTTATATTATTAGCTTATTTCATTTCAACTAAGCTGCTGCTCTAAGTTCCAAAATAAATAGAGATTGTACATATAATGCTGACAGTCTAGCTAAATTTGTTCATGGGATCACTGACAATGTCCTCACCTTGGATCAACCACCCCCTTGGCTAAGAGGTCGTGGTTGATGATGGGGTCTTTTGTGTTCTCTTTATCTTGTTTCTTTTCTCTTTTGATTGGTGTGTATATGTTATCCAATTAATATATTTCATTGGAGAGGTTATTTTTCATATTGGGACCAGGAAAGATACAATACATAGAAACTCATAAAGGAGACAGATTTACAGTCTTTACAAACTGCTACTCGACAAATAAATTTGAAGAGATAGAATAACAAATGTAAACATGAAACACAAATTTACCACCTGTAACTACAACATTCTTCAATGTTCTTTTACGAAATATAGGATCTTGCTAACATAAAATATCATCAAGGAGGAATTCCAATCAAGTAAACAACAGAAAATAACTGCTAAGATTAAAAATACCAACACTATTGAAATTTCAAAATCAAGATTTCAAGAATTCTTAGGAATATTACCAAGGCGCTCCCGTTCACCATCAGCATATCTCACTTGGATTGGACCAACACCCTAATATAACAATAAAAAGGATGAGAAAACCAGTACATCATACCCCTACTATTTAATATTTAGGATTCAAAGCACAACAGCTCACTCCAGGAAGAATATGTTGATTGTGCAGTGCTTTAATTGCCTGATCAGCTTCATCAGGGGAAGCATACTTTATGAAACAACAACCTGCAGCAATCCCAAACCCTTGAAAAATACAACTCCGAACAACCATACGGCTGGCTATTAAATAAAATTTAAGGGCTGCAGTTCTCACGTACTGACAAGTGTAGTCACAGAACTATAATTACATATTAATAGCTCATTAAACTAGTGTTTTCCAGGATTTTATGATCAGAACCACAGATGACCACCCATTACATGACAATCAGGTCTGCCATTCTTAAGCTTACTAGTGAAATGTAAAATTCCAACAAAATCTAATCACTACAATGTATCTGGTAGGCCAAACTTAAAGCCCGTGTCTTTTCATTAAAGTGAATGTAACAATCAACATTTTCTGTGTTCATTTTATTTTACAAATATTCTGCACGTAGACAAATTACAGTATTATATTCAAATGCCTACAGTAAAAATAGTTGGAAATTTGTTCCTTGGATGCATCTAGAGTTGCAAGAGCAAGATCTACTAGCCCTCCAAGATTGAATCTGCTGCACAATGAGTGGCTTACAGCAAGCTTATATCTTATGCTCCTTCTGAGATAACAGGATAAGGACCAAATGGCAGTGGCCAAGTATTTGGCCCTGGATTGCGACAGGCAGTCCAATACATGGACTAGGCAACAAGGAAGTCATAGGCTCCAATCTGGACAGTTAAACTAGCAAACAATTGACCCAGTTGACCCATCAGGTTTTGTGCTGAAGCAGTTCATTGGACCCATTTATGTCAAATTTTCTGATAGAGACTTGGTAGTATAGGATACCAAGTCCCACATTGAGTAGTATGGGATGCTCAATGGGGTATATAAGTGGGTTGGTTTTCCCACTTCAACAGCTAACTTTTGAGGTAGGGTTTCCCATCCTACTTAGGTACCCATCATTTTCAAATTTAAACTAACCCAGACTACTTGTGCTTGCACCCTATCCATTTGTCATGATTTTAACTTACATATGGCTTAAATTTCAAGTTATATGCATAGTAAAGGCAGCTGGGAAGCTCATTACCAAACTAGACTGATCTAAAACCAATCAAAACTGAAGCAAACAGGTCCAAATCAGTATATAACACACCAAATGCAACTATGGCTCGGTTGTCAGTTTAACCTCCCACCTATTGGATCAATGACCAAATGGCCGGGCAAGAAATCATACAGATGAACAGTCACCGAACTAACACACACACACACACACACCTTGCTGCTGTCCGGTCTTTCTATCCTTGATCAGAGCAACCTCAATAACATTCCCATGTTGCTCGAACAAAGGCCGAATCTGACAGAAAATAATTGTAACAAGATAAATTTTAGTCAAAAACGTCTGATCAAAGGTGCAAAATGAGAACAAGTGCTGTTGGTAACAGAACAGGCATCCTTTAAAATCCTAAAGAAAGTTATCTGAAAACTATAGAATACTCGAAAGATTATTCTTGCAGCTAGATGTGTTAATAATAGCTTCAAAATCAAACAAAAAATAAAATAATGAGGGGGAATTAAATGACTTACATCTTCTTCAGTTGCTGTCCGCGGTACAGATCCAACAAAAAGTTTTGCAAAACTTTCCCCACCAAAACGGTCTGGAAATTAAAGGGAAAAAATGTAAGTCATTTCCATTTTACAATGTGCTTGAGAAGAGGTAATCGCAAATAAAGTGGAAATACAACAACAAATGGATCAATTAAATCCATGCTAATGAAAACAAATACCCCTCAAAAAATGACAAAGACCAACAGATTCAAAATGCAAATATGCTCCAGCAGCAACAGATACAAGTAACGAAACCACTGAGTTTTAAAAAAACTTAGATTTTTACATGACATGTTTATTACAGATCCTGAAAACCTGCTTTCTTCATATACAATTTCCAAATATGAATAACATTTTCATGTGTCCATTGCAGGGGAACACCCTAGTGTTACCTAGTTCGAGATTTACCAGTTTGCAGTACTTATCCAGATACTGAATCACAGTAGAACGACATAAACCTACAACTACAATGGATACTATTTTTCTCTCTTTCTTTTTTACCAAAGAAACATAGCTGGATGTCACAACAAGAAAAATTGATAATGAAAAATAAGATTAGGGTAACCAGAGAAGATAAAAAATTATGACATTGGAATTAGGTTAAACTTGTGTGTTTATATAAACTATATAAAAGGAATGAGAATTTATATTTCTAACAAGAGATGGGCTCCCTGCATTGTATGGTGTTTGACGTGAATTGCACTGTTCATAGCTAAAGAATTAATGAATAGGATGACTTCCGATAATTTTTCTTTTTTCGAAACTTCTGATAATTTTATTACGTACATTGATACATTGATTTTGCAAACCTAATTTAATCTTCATTCTCTATACCTCCATCACAATTTATTCTTTCATGTTTCATACAATTTGCAATAATCATTGTTTCCTATTTCATCATGCACCCAGCACAAGCCATCTCCCTTTCCTTACTTGTTCATCTCTTGCTTTAATAATTTTAAACCTTCTGCATGTGTTTCTTTTTTTTAAAAAAATATTATTCTAATAATTAATAATTTTAATTTTAATATTTCACATTTTTAATCATACAATGACGTTAAATCTAAAACGAATCAGAATCCAGACCCCATTTTCTCTTCATCCTTGTTCGTCTGCCGCTCTATTGACCATTTTTTTCACAAGCCAAATCTAGTGTCTCCTACTGTCCCATCTTTCATTGATCTTATTCATATGATGTCTAATCTTCGTCACCAAATTCAGTCTTAGCAACCATGCGTACAAGCATGACCTTGATCCCCTCGTCTACACTTGCATCGAAGACTTACAGTCAGAAAAGTAGCTTGGACTGCAAAGGGTGGGCCTGAGGAGTTGCAGTGTACAACACTCCCCTTCGTCCTTTCCAGGTCTCCTACCATAAAGCACTCTTGCTCTGTTCTCTTGCCATTCAATAGGCAAGCATATATCATTTGGGAAAGGATGATTGGGAAAAGGATTCAAAGAAGTGAAGGGCACGTTAGGCAAGAAGGGTACACGCAACATTTTATTTTAGAAGTATAAAACATCTCCAAACAATTCCTGTTAAGGGTATCCAAAAGTTGCTGCTCCAGTTTATAGATTAACTGAACAAGTAAATTAGTACCATTACAACTTACACCCCCATGGACCCTCTGGCTGCCCATCGGGGCCATATAAGGCATGCTAAAGTGTGAGCAATCATGTAGCAATTAAGAAAAGAATAAAAATAGGAGCACTCCAAACAGCAGCATTAATCATATCCTGAGCATCCCAAAATATAAAAACGCTATCCTCGGCTCGCCAAAATATACAAGCCCAGTTCTCATACCTCTGGTACATAATTGCTATGCAATAATGGCATATATCACAATCTCAGGCGACCAGGAAAGCGTGCATGTGATTTTAAGAAGTGAATGATAACTACAATCTCACATTGATTGGGCTTCCTAAATTACAACACTAAAAAGTCTAACTCAAAGCCAACATTTTAACAAAAAACAAGCAAGAGTCACACTCACCCGGCGACCCTCCACGTCCAGAGAAAGGAAACCCTCGTTTCTGACCGGACAACGGCTGTCCCTGACGACCGTTGAACCCAAACCCTCCAGGACCCTCCCCACTCACTGGCCTGAGCCCATCGCTGCCGCCAAAACCCGGTGATCGGAACCCCGCACCTCTTCCAGGAGAGCGACGGGGTGGGCTGTCAAACTGACGGTGGTGAGAGGCTCCTCCGCCACGATTGTTGAAGGGTGCGTCGGAGAAGCGCGATGGAGCTCTGGACTGACGATATGGGTGAGAATCGTGATTGGTGTTGCCATAGCGGTCTCCTCTGTGCCTATCCAGCTTGGCGTGCAGAGTGAATCCCTAACCCTAAAACTTTATTTTCAGAAAATAAAGCAGAGAAACGAATAGCAGCGAAGTTCTGAGTCAATTTGGGTGACGAAATGCGACTACGCTCAACAAGAACGAGAAACCGAAGCTTTATGACTATGTTCGCCCGCTTCCGACAACGACGAGCAAAGAGAAACAACGAGTGTCAGATTTTATTACTTGCGTTTGATGTCGTTTGACTCTTCTTTACTGTCGTTCAATTACTCCGGCAATGAAATAAGGAGACTGACCAGGCTTCTTTCCGCTTCCGACTTCCGAGCCTGTTATTAACCATGCCTTCGTTGCACGTAAAACGACGTCGTTCTATTAAAGCTGGTGCAATTAGGATTACTCGAGACAGCAAAAATGCACTCATATTCAAACAACGTCGTTTTTTTCCAAAAAAACAAAAAAAAAGAAGCAGGTCTTCCTTTTTTTCCATGATGATATGTAGTCATTTAATTGGTCTTACGGACAGGACTTGGGTTTCCCAATCCCATTGGCCTCTTTGCTCAGTACATGTTCGAATATTAATTGTAAAAATTGATATGGGGAAAACTTTGTTTTTTTTGTTCAACACTAAACTTAATTAAAAAATATAAATTTGCAAGAGCAGCCTTATATTTAAATTAGGAAAATTATTGTTCAAAAAAAAAAATGAGTTTGAAAAATTGTATTTGAATCTCCAAACTAATATCTAAAGACAGCCTGAGGACCTCTTTGAGTAATTTTTAAAATACATTCAAATTATATTTAAAATATATTTTTACTAAATTCAAGAAATAGTTAATCACTTAAATAAATTTTTACCAGACGTAAAATGAAAACCACATTCTTAATATATAATGAGGCATAAAAATATGCGTTGCCTGAGTTTTAATCAAAGTGAGAGTGTATTTGTATACTATTTAAGTTAAAATGTAATTTTACAGGCTAAAAATAGTAATTTTGACCTAATCCCACAAGTAATATGGTTAATAAGGAAGACTTAATTAACCGAGGCACCTTTTTAAGAAAAGAAAAATTGGAAGAACTTTGGTAATAATTGTAAAAAATGGCCCTAGAAATGTAGAGCTCATAATTTGAGTTTGTCAAATTCAATTCAAGTTGAGCTAATTCAAATAGAGATTAAAATACTCGAGTATATAAAAAAAGCTCATATAATCAAACTCAGCCTTAAGTCCTTAGTCTTTTGAGTTTATTCAAACTGGCCCAAATACTCAAATTATTAAATATTATTTTATGTTATTTTTATTTGATTTCAATTTTTATTTTAAAAAAGTAATATTTTTAATCTTTTATCTTATTTTAATATTATTTTATTGATAATAAAAAAAGAAATTCAAGTATTCAAGCTAAGTCAATTTGGGTTCGAGGTTGACCAAATTTTTTCAAATTTATTTGGACAGCTTAAATAAGCTCAAGGTGAAGACAATCTTTTTTTTTAGTAATAAAAGGGTAAGCAAAAGCTTGAGAAAGTTAAAGAAACACAGCTAAGCGTTTACAAGCAGCAACTAATCATGAGGTGAGAATTCCATGTCTTCCTTAAACATTTGCGCATAACCCATTAGCACATCTTCTATTAATTTCACCCTAAAATCACTGGCATGGGCTTCATTTACCATAAAATCGACACATTGAATGGCTGACTTGGGCGAAAAAATAATCTTGACATCCCAATAATTATACAGCATCGCTTGAATAATTGAAAGCTCCTCTCTTAGTAGATGATCAAAAGAGATATCCCTTAAAAGAAGATTAACAACATCCAATCAATCTGTATAAAGTTGAATCTTGGCAAATCCAAAATTTTTGCTCAATTCCAACCCTGTCTTAATGGCTAATATTTTCGGCTGCACAGGGCCTAGACAACCCAAGTTCTTCTAAAAGGCCATAATCCAAGCTCCTGCATTTCTAATCACTTTATCACACGTGGCATGATTTTGGTTCCAAACGAACCCGTCCATATCCACTCTAATTGTAGCATCTCAATTTTTAATTCCACAATTGACTAACCTAATTAGGGTAATTAAATAAGTTGAGATGGTGTGTGGCTAAAGAAATCTAATAAGCATATTTGATTGTATTTCAACCAAATCGTGGCTCTGATATCAAGTCGAGCCACTCAAGCATCAAAAGAAGAAGAAAAATGAAGAGCGATGTTACTATGCCACACACTATGGCATGGAGATCATCCGCCATGGCGCATAGACACTTTTGATGCAAGGGAGGACCTCTCTATGCCATGCGTTACGGCGCATTATGTGTCCACCATGATGCATAATCATTTTTTGCAAATATCAGTCACAAAAATGAGACAAAAAAAAAGAGAAGAGAAAAGAGGAAACGAAGAGAAACACCAAGCTCTACTAGGGTATACTTGTAGATGACATTGAGAATTTACAAACACCCAATGCAAGTACCACACTCATTAATCTCCCTATTTCTTTCATATTTATGAGTTTATAGTTAGGGTTTAATAATAAAAGTAGATTTTCTGTCCATATGGGTTATGAATCAAAATTTATTAACTCAAATGGAATTAATAAGAGTATATAAGAATATCTAAATCTAGTATAATAAATTTTTAGTGTCTTAGGTATTTGGCACCATTAATATCCAAAATTTTCATTATTTATAAGTGGTTGGAAAATTGTAATACCATTAATGAAAATTTAATGGTTCATTGATGTTATTAGAGACTAAAGATAATTAATAAATCCAAGCGATAGGCACAAACTCTTGTGGAATGAGTATTAGGTAATTTAGAAGTGGAGATTGATGGTTTAATATTTGAGTTAGTAATGTTGATAAAATTCAACTTGATTGATTATAGTTTTGGATCTTGATCACCCATTTAGCTTAGAAATTCAAGCTTTAAAGCTATAACATTAAAGGGTAAATCTTTAACCTCTTAAAGGTTTGAGATAACTAGGGGAAACCCTACTTTAAGTAGTTATATATTAATTGATTGTAAATTGATATCTAATTGTGAATGTGGTATGCATGGATTGATTTTTAATGTGAAAAGCGTGTGTTAGTTTAATGAGTGTATGAAAATTGAATATGCATAATGTTATTGTGGTTTGAAATGCAAATACCAAATCAAAATACTTTTGAATATGAACACGCATGTCTTTAAAAAGATAAATGTGATGATGTGTTGTAAATGAGTAGTAAGTGATTGATTTGATAAAGATGAGCAATTGTAATTGAAAAAAAAAGGTGTAAGTGATATAAGTAAAAGATAAGAAATTGATGTATACTTGAGTAGAGCTTGGTCATGAGCCCAATGTATTGATTTTTGTAACACACCAAATTTTTTTTTTTAAATAATTTAACTCAACCATAGTTGGGTTACAGCCACCCAACACATTTTTATATCAATAATTTCAATATAAAATATTTTATAATTGGCTTCAACTCACACACTATAACATTTCAGATAAATTTTTACCTCCCACATGCCATTAGGCTAAATCACATTTGTCCATCCTTATACTCCCAACAAGTAAACTAAATCACATTTGTCCATCCTTATACTCCCAACAAGTAAAATAAGCAATTTAGTCAATTTTCAACACAAGCCAGTTATTTGGCCTTATAATCATGTCATTTTAACCAATCCAAAGTAAACCAAATATTAAAATTACAGTCATCCAAATTGTACCAAAAATAGAAATAGTTTGAAAGGCATGATTACATTTATATATTCATATAATTGACAATAAACAAAAAGCCCTAATATTGGCAATATAATACATTATAAATCATAAATTAAATACCCAAAAGAGACAGTGGATCTATACCACTAAGCCTCTGGGACTCCTCCACATGTCACTCGTGGCTCTTCTCCTGAAAATTGTTAACCACATAATGAGACTCAAAAGTCCCAGTAACCAAAGCCAATTTATGATAGTGTATACAAACAGTTAAGTGTGTGCTTATTAAGTGAAAATTAAAAATAATATAATTCCAACAAATATAAGAAATATTACAATACACACAAACAACCATCCTTATATCCCTCCATTAACCTCGAGCCGTAGTCCTCACTCGGTGCTAAATTACCCGGCCAAAGGTAGATTAGCCCGAGCCCTTACAAACCACCTATTGAGCTCCAATAGGGGCGTACCACGTGGCACATAAATATAACAACAATAACAAGTCTCCCAACACCTCCCACAATAATCAAATAAATTCATAATAATATTGCACAATTATATAATATTACAAAATTTATAATTTTCTCAATAATCACCCAATTAACATGAAGTAACACAAATCACAAATTAAAAGCATGGTTACCTTGTGGCTTTTTCAATAAATTATTCCTTAAAATTTCTCTCTCACCACAATCTTCACCAGTAATACAATCTACAAATAACATATTATTTATAAATATTAGTTTCAATTTTTGAAACTAATAAAATAATTCTAATAATAAAATTAAAAATATAACATAATTCCTAATCTCAATCTTAATACAAATCTATAGTTAATACTATTAAGTATAATTTTTAACTCCTCTTTTAATTATCAATAAACATTAATAATCTAAAAATCAACTTCTAAACTAATTTTTATTATCAAAATTTTCTTTTTATTTCATAAATTCGTACCTAAAATACTCAAAAATTAAAAATTAAGTCTCTAGTTTAGAATCATAATCCTATAACCATAATAATTCATTTCTCATCCCAAATAATCATCTAAACCTCAATAAATCAACATATATTTTCAGATCTAGTCTAGAATTTGATCCATAAGCCACAAATTCAAAGATCACCAATAAATTTATACTCTAGAATATTTATTATACTACTAACAACTTCAAAAACCATATTTATTCAACATAAATTCATTCCTCTTCCAGATCTTAAATTTTCTACCACTACAAATTCAGAAACTAAATAAGAAGGATGACTAAGAAAAATTTTTAGAACACTTACTTAGTCTTGAAAAGCTTAAAATCACACCCTAAATATCCTATTAAAAACTCTTACCTTAAAAATTTAGATATTTCGCACCGGTGACTCGCGTTCTCTCCGCCTCAGCTCGCGCGCAGGAATGAATGAGGAAATGAAGGAAGGTGAGTTTTTATAAAAATTCAGTGGGTCCCACATTTTTTAAATTATTTTCTCTCTCTTCTTCTTCTTTTTTTTTATTATTATTTTATTATTGTTACTGTTGAGGCGGCGGACGAAGCAAATTCGTTTTCTTCTTCTTCTTCCTTTCTTTTTTTTTATTATTATAATAATAATTTAATAATATTATTTTATTATTATTTTATTATTATTTTTTTATTTTTTTTTAAATTATTTTTTTTTATTTTTTTTTAATTTTCTATTAACCCAAATTAACTATTAAAATTTATATTGGGATATTACAATTCTCCCCTCCTTTTAGAAATTTTGTCCTCAAAATTTAAAATTAGTAACTATTAACTACTCACTTAATCAAAAAGACGAGGATAATCACGTCGCATACTGTCCTCGGT